GCAGAAGGATTTAATCGCCGCAGGTGCGAAGTCCATACGCCGCCTCAGCTCTGCGGATGTCTCGGGGGTATGGCAAAGTAGAATCGTTTTTTTAAATAGTTTTTTTGGTGGGTTCGAATCCCACGTTATGCACAAAAGATTGTTCTTTTTTCAATACATTTTTTTACATTATAGCTTCAAATCTTTAGTCGCTTTTAACCGGTTCGATCAACATTATCATGCATTTTAGCAATATCGATCTACGAAAAAGTATGATTATGCCGTTACCTGTCTTTTCTAACTTAACATATTTTCTTTCTAAATTTCTATAAACGTTTTCCGCTTTTTATATACATAGCTACGTAGCATTGCCCGGTCCCCGTGGGTCAAATAAGAGGGGGTGTGAATGGGGATACCCGAGTCGGTTAACTTTACTAATTTTTAAGTCAATTATATAAGTTAACTGTTAATAATTTTACAAGCGCTGTCCATAATATTAACAAAAACTATAACAAAATATCAGTTATTGAATAACTGTCATTGGCAAACTTTTGGGAAAAATGTCAGTTAACTATAACCCCATCCATGCACACCTTCAGAAAAGAGTGGCTATTGTCAAATTCGCCTCGTCAGTKTTACTCTACTGTGTCCCACTCAGAAAATATTCATAGTTTCGCCCTAAAACATTCTTTAGAAATGTGATTAAGCTTGTCTTAATTAAATCTTTACAATTTTGTTATATAATAAATAATATATTAATATGTTAATATATTAATATGTTAATATATTAATATGTTAATATATTAATAATATCCTTACATATTTTGACACTGATTATACACTTATTTCAATAAAGTTAGTCACCCGAAAAGCTATAAAGCTGAGGCCGACAAGGATTATGGGTAAATTCATTTTACACGTTCAACCGCTTAATTGATAACTGTTGATGGACTTGCGAATCTTTTACCGGTTACAGTCTCACCTCTTCTGAGCATCACTGAGCTGCAGTTTGTATTAAAAAAGCTTTGTATATATATATGCTTTTTTGATATGAAAAGTTTCCCATGATGCTCAGTGATCTCAGCTTTCTAGGTTTTTGGTGACTAACTTTATTGAAATAAATGTATATTTACCAAAAAATAAAAGTTTCTAAAATTTAAGTTATAATGACTGCAATCTTTTTTGACTTTAAATTAAATTTCAAAATACTATAAATTATATGAAGGATTTCTGGGCAGACGTCATAAGAATAATTGTTCACTCCCCAAGAGGCACTCTTTCTCTCTCTCTCTCTCTCTCTTTATGATCCCCCTCCCCTCTCCTTTACTAATATGGTCGCTACTTTGTTATAGTTGTATAGTCCCCCCTTGATAGCTGTCAATGTATGTA